AAACTCAATCAAAAATGAAAAAGAAATCATAACCAATATCATGGAAACACAAAATCTCATCTCAGAATACTATATCTATGCTCATAAATTATAAATGTGAAGAAATTGACAAATGCTTAGAAACACGTAACCTCCAGAGGCTCAGTCAGGAAGTAACAGAACTCTGGAACAGCTCAATTATCAAATACCAAAATAAAAGCAGGAATAAAAGATCTTCTAGCTAACAAAAAACCCAGACAAGCTTTTTTCACAACCAAATTTTACCAAACATACTGCAGAATTTATTCCATAACATTGAGAAGGAAGGAATCCTCCTCAGCTCTTTTTCTGAAGCCAATATTACTTGTTATCAAAGGCAGAAAAAGGCACAGCTAAAAAATAAACCACAGACCGATATCTCTTATTAATATAGTTGCCAAAATTCTCAATACAATTTTAGCAAATTTTCAAGCGATACTATAAATTCAGCAGCACATCAAAAGCATAATTCACCATGACCATATAGGTTTCATTCCAAACATGCAAGGATGGTTCGACATACACAAATTGATGAATGTACTTTACGACATAGATGCAAAGACATCATGTGATCCTTTCAATTGGTGCAGAAAAAGCATTTGATAAAATTTAGAACATTTTCATGATAAAGACCACTCAACAAAATCAGTTTAGAACACACATTCCTCAAAATTATAATGGGTATATATGACAAACCTACTTTTAACAACATATTGAATGGGCAAAAATTGAAAACATTTTAATTTAAGAATATTAGGCTCTCTACCACCTGAACTAGCCAGGCAACTAGCATTCTTATTTAGAACTAGAACCAGACAAGATTACTCACTTTTGAAACTTTTTTTCAACATAGTGCTAGCAGTTCTCAACAGAGCAATCAGAAAAGAGAAGAAAATCAAGGAAGGAGGGCATTTGGGGGGATCTCACCTAATGCATGATCAATGGTACATTTCAAAACTATAAAGAAAAAAGTATAATTGTGATGGATGTGTTAATCAGTACAATGGAAGCATTTCACATTGTATATCAAATCAGTACACTGAACCCCATAAATGCATCAATGTACACAGTTATGATTTAATAAAAAACAATTTAACAAAAAAAGAGTCAAGCTGAGAATCAAATCAAAGATGCATACTTTTCAAAGTAGCAACAAAGAAAATCATATACCTAGGATATACTTATACAAAGGAGGTGAAAGACCTGCATAGGGAAAATTAGAAAACACTGAGAAAAGGAATTGCCCAGGATATAAAAAGACAGATGAATATACCATGCTTATGGAACAGCAGAGTCAATATTGTTAAAATGTCTATACTACCAAAATGATTAACAGATTCAATGCAATCTCTATTAAAATATCAAAGTCATTTTTTGAAAATCTAGAAAATATAGTTCAATGCTTTATAAGGAACCAGAAAAGACCCCAAATAGCCAATGCCAATTTATTTAATAAGCACAAAGTGGGGGGTATCACTTTACTTGACTTCAAGCTATGCTTCAAGGCTGTGGTAACCAAACATCATGGTACTGGCAGAAAAACAGAGCCATAGACTTATGGATCAGAACAGAGAACAAAGATATGAAGTCATCCTGATATTCTCATCTTATTTTTGGAAAACAGATAAAAATATACACTGGGGAAAAGCATCCCTATTCAATAAATGGTACTGGGAAAACTGGATAGCCACATATAAAAAACCCGAACAGGGTCCACACTTCTCACCACTCAAAAATATTAACTCAAAATGGATAAACGACTTAAACCTAAGGCAGGAAACTATAAGAATCCTAGAAGGAAATGTTGGAAAAACTCTTATATATATATTGGCCCAGGCAAAGAATTCATGAAGACTCAAACACAATCACAGCAAATATAAATAAATAGGACATAATCAAATTAAAAACATTCTGCACAGCCACAGACACAATCAAAAGGGCACTGACAACCCACAAAAAGGGAGAAAATACTTGCACATTATATGTCTCATAAATAACTGATAACAAGAATGAACAAAGAACTCCAGCAAGTCAACAAGAACCAAACAAACCATCCCATTAAAAAGTGGGCAAAAGACAAGAAAAGAAATTTTTTTCAAATGAAGATATACTAATGGTTAGCACACTCATGAAAAAAATGTTCAACATCTCTAATCGTTAGGTAAATGCAAATCAAAATCACAATGAGATATACCTAACTCCAATGAGAATGGCTCATATTAAAAAGTTTCAAAACAACAGATGCTGGCCGGTATGCAGAGAGAAAGGAACTGTTACACACTGTTGGGGGGACTGCAAACTGTGCAGCCTCTATAGGCTGTATGGAGATAGCTCAATGAACTTAACGTAGAACTACCATTTGATCCAGCAATCCCACAGCTGGGTATATACCCAAAGGGAAAACAATCATTTTATAAAAAGGATACTTGCAGCACAGTTCCCAATTGTAAAGATGTGGAAACAACACAAGTGCCCACCAATACAGGAATGGATTAAATATAACACATTTCAACAAGTTAATCTAATCTAAATGATTAAATTAGGATTTGCTTTAATATGTGGAGCAAAAATTGGTTTGAAGTGGGTCTTCTTTTCATTTTATAGTCTATGATATTATGATATTTTAATATTAATAAAATATTAGTGCAGATTTTGTTTTCATGGTATAGCATATTAAATGTAGTGATTAACCTTAATGTAATAAAATCTTCTTAAAGAATAAAAGCTATGTAACTAAATTTTGAATATAAATTAAATAAATTTAGAGTAAAAATACAATATAAATTTCAGTTTAAGATGCATTGTAAACATGCACATAAGCAATTTTCATCAATAACTGTAGTAGTAAGGTAAGAATGGAAATCGCCAAAGAGGATAAAAGATTAAAGGATGTTTTAAGGTCATAGGAAAAGTTCCTCATCTTCTATACCAATTTTCACAAAGCTCAAAGACAGTTTGATCCTCTTCCAATAGTAAAGAAGAAATTGAGGGGGAAAATACTTCTTCCTTGCCAGAAAAAGTATTCCTCCAACAGTCTGATTCTACTTGTGTGTTTGGCATGCAATTAAATGCTAATATTCTATGTTGATAGAGCAGATATTTGATAAAGTGTATCAAATAAGACAATTTGCATGTCATTCAAAATATAGTTTGAATGAAATGTTGGCATACTATTTGGAAAGATCTTTTCTAGAATCTATACATATTTGCTTTGGAGCCTCAGTTCTGCATTATAGACTATACAAATAACACTTAAGAAGGCATAGAGGGTCTTGTGCATCATGTGAGATGACTTAGCCAGTATACTAGAAAGGATATAATTTCCCTGGACAAAATATCAGGAGAAATAAGTGTGAATTTGGTATCTCTAGTATCTAACAAAGTTTCTAAAATATAGTAGCTATTCATAAATTTTTAAAAAATGATTAAAAAAAGCTTTTAAGAAGAGGAAAAAGCTTTTTAAAAAATCTCGATGATTATTTTGCTTATTTCTTTGTACTGAAAAAAAAAGACATTAAAATGGAAAAGAAAAAAATGATAAAATCCATCTTAAATGATTTACAGGAACCAGTTCCTGGAACACTTTATCTATCTATTTATTTCTAGCCATATTTAGCTAGATTAAGCAATATTTATCTAGAAGCTATTGAGATCATCAAATGCTTCTTATAATTCTTTACTAGTCAGCGAGATTAATATTCTTTCTAATTTTATTTACAAAATTTAAACGTTATGCTATCTAAACAGACTGCCTCAGTATTTGTGAATTATGTGATATTATGCCACTTGTTATAAAGAATAACACTTTTTCGATGATTTAATATGGACAGCATTTTCCATGCAAAATGGGGACAATGGATTAACTGACTCTAAGCTGCTGTGGCTATCCCCATCATTCACACATGCATGTGTTTGGGGTCTATTTGCACATGATGTTTTGTTTGGCACTTCTTCAAACACCTTAATCAGTGAATAAATCAGCAGTCAGAAGACAACTATCTTCCTGGAAACAATCAAACTTTAAGACAATATTAAAATATACAGTTAAGCAAGAAAAATGTTTGCCTTAGAAATTCAGGACATTATGGGAATGCAATGTCAATATTCAACATTGAATTCTACATAAAATTGTGCACTATGTTTTGAACATGATACTTATTAGAGAGTCATTACTCTTCTAAAGTTTTTGTGTATTTTCTAGAAAGATATTTGGGCAAGAAGACAACTTTTTTCAAAATATTCCATTCATTGAACTCTTATTTAAATAGAGCTTTGAATTTAGCATAAGAGTTCAATGCAAATCATTCCAGTGACATTGTGTTTATCAAAGTTCTTATATTTATTTCTATTTTTCCATAGACACGTCCTTCTTTAGCATCTCCATTTTCTATTTCAGTGTATCAAACAGCAAATCTCCAAATGCACAGGAGAGAGCGTGGATTCATCCTTGGCATTAAATATCAGCCCCAATTTTGTTTTCCTGAATCTTAAGGGAGAAAAAGGTGGCTGAGTGCACAGTAATTTTTCTCCATCTTAATATCCAGCATTTTTGCCTGGTTATCAGTCCTACATTTAATCAGATCTCTTAAAAAAGATTTTCCTTATTTTCTTACCCAGTGCCATCACCATTCATATCTTACAGGTTCATTGTAAACTAAAGATTATATAATTGATAAACAAGCCATATCAGTTATGTGTATTGTTGACATAATTTCTATTTTATAAACATCAATTATTCAAAATCATCAAATCTTTTCTAAAAAGATGTCCAACTGACATAGTTTCATCAAGGTAATCAAATGCAATAACATTCTACAGCAATAAGTCTTTCTGTTCTTTGTGACTTTTTAATTATTCACCAGCCACAAATTTAAAAGCTACGAATACAAACATAATCCAAACAGAATGGGTTTCCTTTCATAATTCTTTACATGAGGCTTCACAACGATGTCATGTTTTGTTATAATTATAGTGCTTGTGGTAGACGCTTTTCTTTCCTAACGGGAAATTTTTTTCTCCCCTTTCTTCCTTGCCAGAAAATTGTTGCTTGCCATCTTTTTTAGCTGGAATTCTGTCGGGAGAGACAAAATGGAAGTGACATAGTTTTCTTTCGAATGCAGAGAGAGCTAATGGAGAAACTTCCCTACTTTTTCCTTTGAGTGTTCATTCAGTAACATAATGGTCAAAGTAGCTGTACTATCTTGTTACCATTTGGGAGGCCATCTAAACCTCAAACTATATATAGAAAGATTTTACAAATTATAACCTAAACATGTTAATAAGCTAATAAGTTTTCAAATAAAACTCCCAATTAAGGTGGATGCTAAATTTTGTCTTTGTCTTCCTAGAATTAGTGATATGTAAACTCTGTATACATAATTTTCATGAATTTAAGCAAGTAATAATATTGTGAACCAACTTATAACATTAATGTGAAGAATCCATTTTGACTATTATTAATGTTGTGCCTTTCACATCTACTCTTTCCTGACTCTATAAATATAATGAGTATATAAATACTCTATGTATTTGCTACATACATAAGCATCACAGTCTAACTCATGAACTAACATTTTCTCCCAAAGAGGGTGTTAGCATTAATGTGGCTTTTGATGACAACAACATAGCATCTTATGATAAGAAATAAAAAAAGAGTTAGCTCAATGTAAACTTTCATCTTAATTTCATCAATTCCATATCAGTTACCATTAATTCGATATCACTTTCTGAAATATTCCTTTGCTTTCTATGTATTTCTGACTACATTGTAATAAATAATTAGTTAACTTTCAGGAATAGAGAAAATAACCATTTTCTGTAACCACAGCTCATGCTTTTGCAAAGCTCAAGATCTAAAACTTCAAAAATATTGAAACATGTTAAGATATAATTTTAATGAGTTAATTGATCAAAATGAAAAGATTGCCTAACTGCCAACATCTTTAAATTAATATAATGAATAATACCACTATTTATGTTTATAACAGTTATTTCCAAATATTTCCTATTATGGAAGAATACTTTGAAAAAAGACATTTAACATGAAGTTTATTGTTATTATGGGAAATGTTTACAGTGTAAACATGCAACATGTTCCTTTTCTTTTCTATTTTTCTTCTGATCATTTTCAAATTACAGGAAAAGTTGCCATCACCACTAAGGGTAATCAGTTTAGAAATACAAAGATATATCACATGGGTTTTAAAAGGAAACTCATTTCACTGTGTTGAGAGATCAGTGTGATGTTCCCTGCTAAGACATTTGGACAGATGATTATAGCTGTTCAGTCAATGCACAAGTCACATCACTGCCAAGACTTCTTCCCTCCAGTCATGGATTAGTGACCTTTGGGCAGCGGCCTATGCAGGAATGAAGAGATGCCTGTGTCTCCATCTCAAATCCTCTGTAGTAATTCTAATGGACTGCAATGATACCTACTGGTGACAGGAGAGAAAGCTGACAGCCACAGGCCCTGTAGTTGGAGCCAAAAAGCCACTCTTATGGAGATCTTAGATGAGTATATTAAGTACTTTCACTACTGAGCTGGCGAAGTTGCTTTAGTTCTCTTGGCATAAGCACTGGCCTGAGAGTAGTAAATCAGCTCTTAAAAGTATCTTCTTGTCATCTGAATTGTAAATGTACAGTGAGCTAATACTAATCCTCTTGTATAAATAGAACTGACCCTCCGGTGCTGTAATGCCATTAAGAAACATTTTTTCTCGTTTTACTAGGTTTTCTTTTCCTTCGTTTAACCCCATTTGCCCTTCTATCTACCGTAAGCAGAAATCTTAGACCTACCTTAAATATCATAAAAGAGGAACAAAGGTGAACAATACCTTTGTATTAGTATGTTAGTGTTCTGGGTTTAAAGTGGTAAGATGCTGTCAGAAATAAATTTTAAATTGTTTGTAGAGAAGATCAGAAAAAGAAATATCCATTTCAGAAAACTCAGAGAAAAAAGAAACATTGAGTTAAGCAACTCAACAAAGTTCTACTGCTTTTAAAGAAATATATTGCCAGACTTTCTCTCAAATTGTCTAATGTTGTTCATGAGTGAGGTTCTGTTTTAGATGGTTTAGGGAAGATAAGTTCATCATGTTTAATATACTCTTGTCCAACAGTGGGAATAAACTGTTCCACTAGTGTAGAATGAGTCAGTCCTACTTTAGACCGGACATAAAAATGTGTTTAAACACTTTCTTTATCCAAAGACACACAAGCTATTCCTCTAAACTCAATCACAAACATCAAAAAACCCTTAAGAGTCTGCTTTTAACATAGACAGATAATTGACAGAGGCACAAAACTTCACGTTTTCCAATGAAGAAAGCATGCAATTAACAAAGAGCTAACTGAAATTTTTCTTACCTGAAATACTTGGCAGAAAGGGCTGTACTTTATTACTTACATATGCCCAGTTCCTCAAATATAAGACAGCCTCATAGTACATGGTTAATAATTCACTCCTAAACACAAAATGAAGAATAAATGGCATTTAATTTCAGTAGCACATTCTTGTTGTTTCTAAACTTAATTGGAAAGTAAGATTGGCAAAATCAAACTTGGATGCTGAAGTGATATCTAGGAAAATAAAATAGTTTATCTATCCTTACAAGGAGGCCCTTATAAGTGAATTTAATTGCTTGTTTTATCTAATTAGAAAACCTCTAAATATCCCAAAGATTATTAAGTTTCCCTCATTCATCACATTTTAATATTATCAAAGTGTTATAAATTACATTGCTTAAGCATTTACTAACATAGTTCTGTTTAGGATAAGTAATATTTTCCCATTAAAACCTTCCTTATAATTTTTTCCCAAACTGTGAATCCGATTATTCATATATAGATCTTGTTATCTGGCTTAATTTAAAATTAATATGCTCATAATACTTTCTCGCCATAGAAAAAGCAGAGAAAGTCACTTTCTACACCGATGTAGGTTTATAAACAGATAAAATCCTTAAAGCACACGATTACATATAGTAACACCCTAAGCTTTTTTTTTTTTTTTTTTTTTTACTGAGTTTTAGTCTTTTGCTTCCAAACCCAGTTCCACAAAGGTTTTCATTATTGCTCATTTTAGACAACATTTGCCAAGCTCAAGTGCCCTCGGGAATACCTTTACTTACAGCTGCTGAAAAGAGCAAATAATATGATTAGGACACTAGTAAGAAATCATGGAGGAACCGCAGAAAGGGCTAGTTGCATTGTTTTTGGAAGCACCAATACCCTGCCTTACCCAAGATGCCATTTGTATGTTCTAGGCTATTCATGATGGAAAAGTAAACAAACAAGAAATGTCTATAAATCATAACAAGAAGTATTTAAACACTGTATGATTTAAAATTCTGATCTAGTGAACTGCTTAATTACTCAAATTACTCAAATATAACTCTCCAAAGTTATTTCTTATTATGTTGACTTATTATGATCCTAAAAGAGAAATTAAAACTCAGGTAATGCTACGGTTTGAACATTCCCTCCAAAACTTGTGTTGAAATATGTTACTGCTGTAACTATGTTAAGAGGTGGAGTCTTTAAAGGATGATTGGACTTCAACCTTGTCTATGGATTAATGCCATTTTCAAAGGACTAGATTGCTTATTGTAAAAGTAGTTTCCCCATAAAAGAAAAAGTTTGGCCTCCATTTTCTCTCTTTGTGTTGTGTACTCACTTGCCTCACCTGTACTCTCTGTCTTGTGTACTCACTTGTCTTAGTGTTACAACTAAAAAGGCGTCTATCATCAGATGCCAGCATCATGCTCTCGGACTTCTCAACCTCAAACACTGAGAGCCAAATAAACTTCTGTTCTTTATAATTATCCAATCCATGGTATTCTGTTATAGCAGCAGAAAACAGACTAAGACATACAATAAACTAAATGAAATGGAATGGAATGATATGTGTGGACAATTCAAGTGCTTATTAGAGTCGTGGCCACAGCTTGGGTCTCATTTATCCTGTTTTCTCAGTATTATAATTGACAACAAATCAAATTAAAAGGTAACGTGGGAATGGTCTTAAATTTTTACTTGTCAATAATTTATTGTTCATTTTCTAATATCATATCTACAATTAATCTAATCATACACAGTATTTTTCTTAAAAGTAGCATTGTGTGTGGTTGTTTAGTTTGAAAGTTCTGTCAGAAAAATTCAGAGTGAATCTAGGGCTCTATCATTTACTTTGTTTAGTTGCTAAGCCTTCTATATTACTTATTTATTCATAGATAGAGATAAAAGTATTCCATAGCAGTTGCTCATGAAAATACTCTTTTGTATATTTATGTAATACTTTGTTTCAACAAATGCATTAAAATGAATTGTCATAATAATAAAGCTATGATTATTTCATAATAAAGACTTGACCTATAATTTGTATTTGAGAAAGAAAATCAATACCAATGCTGAAATCTACAGCATTGATCATTTTGGAAAACTTATGGTTGGCGACATTGTAAAGAAAAGAAAAATCATGCTGTTGTAGTTACAGAAACTAAGAAATTCATCCTTTAACCTATCCACAATATCATAAAGAAAATTACAATGCAAATAATTATTTGCCATATTGCTTCACAGTAGACCACTAAGGAAATATGTCACATTATTTTTGGGAGTAATTTTCCAAAAAGTGTCACTATTTACCATTATTTTTTCTGCTGAAGTTAGGGGAAGATGAGTTTTAATAGTAAATTAATATTGTGAAAATAAAATTAACATAATGAACAGCACCATGTTTTCTGCTTAAAATTTTATCATGAATATTACCAATTAAAAGATTTGAGTGAGTTCTGCATTAAACAAATTTATCATAATTTGCTGAATGGTATACCTATAGAACAAAAAATGAATAAATAAAATAAAATAAAAAAACTCCTTGACAGACATGGAAAAGAGCAGAAATGAAATATTAGGCACAGTGGAAAGAAATGTTCTCTAGAAGTAACTCATATTTTGGAAAACTGAATTTATTTTAGAAAAATATATAAGCTTACTTGATGGAGTTTCAACTTTCATGGGTCTATTACAAAGATTACTAGCCCAAATGGATAAAAATCAGAGTAAAAATTATGAAAGACCACATTGAATGACTATCTTAAGGACTTAAATTATGAAGAATCAAAGATTATAAAAAAAAGTAATTTTTTTTTGAGACAAAGTCTCACTTTGTCACCCTTGGGAGAGTGCCACGGAATCACAGCTCACAGCAACCCAAATTCTTGGGCTTAAGTGATTCTCTTGCCTCAGCCTCCCAAGTAGCTGGGACTACAGGCACCCGCTATGATGCCTAGCCATTTTTTGGTTGTAGTTGTCATTGTTGTTTGGCAGCCTCAGGCTGGATTTGAACCCACCATCTCTAATGTACGTGGCTGGTGCCCTAGCTGCTGAGCTACAGGCACCACACCAAAAAAGGTAATTTTTTAAACACATCAGCCTGCATATCATAAATCCAAATTTAAAATGGTTCTGTAAGTTGGCAGGTACAGCCAAAGTACTGTATATTGTACTCCTTATGTTTTTACAGGGTATATATACCGTTTCGTTTGTTCAATAAGAGAAATACTATGCATTGAAATTATGCTTATCTTTCAACATGAAAAATGATTAAAGAAGAAATCTATCAGGGAAGAACCCCAAACCAAGATGGTAACAAAGAGTAAGAAGTGGGTAGGTTTGCTCATTAGTGCCGAAACTCAAGGGATCCTGCAAAACAGTTTATTAGTCACAACACAGCAAACAGCAGGAGAGGCTTGACATGATAATGCAGGTTTTCCTGAGTCAGAGTCCCACGGGAAGTCAAGACGAGCCTTGATGGAGGCTATACATAAGATGGTTAGTGCTATAGCACTTCATGTAGCAAGCTGCAAATAAACTAGTGTGCCCTTGCTTGGGGAGCAGGGAGCTGCATAGTAGTCACATGTAGTCTCCTTGCCCTACTTAAGTGATGATGTGACTAGCTACTGAAATTGCTCATTACCATGACATATTAGACCTTGCTGTTTAATGTATTCAGCAAGGACTTATAAAGACATTCAGGAACCATACCATGATTGCTCGTATAACAAAAATCATACACTGTCAAATCAAATTAATATAAAGATATGAGATTGTCTAACATACCTGCAGCAGAGTTTTAGACAATGGTCCTTGTAAGAGTTAGCAATCATATGAAATTAATTGATAGCGAATATTTTTAACTTCTCTTCACTTTTTAAGGTAGCATGCTATTATTAGTTTATTTTGCTCTATTTGAATTTTAGGAGAATGCTCCAAAGGTTTTGATATAACTTAATTTACAGACAACATTATAAACTATAAAGATTATTCAATTAAAATTTATCATTTAAAATGTCATATATGCCAACAAAAGACAACTGAGAACCAAATCAAAGATGCAGTAGCAATAAAGAAAACAAAATACCTAGGAATATACTTAACAAAGGAGGTAAAAGACCTCGATAGGGAGAATCATGAAACACTGAGGAAAGAGACTAAAGAGAATGTAAACAGATGAAAAAATGTACCATGGGCCTGGATTGGCAGAATCACCATTGTTAATGCATTTTCCATTAAATTATCAAAGCAATTTTTTACAGATCTAAAAAAAATAGTTCTATGTTTTAGGTGGAGTCAGAAAAGACCATGAATAGCCAAGGCTAATTAAGCTAATGAGAACAAAGTGGGAGGCATTACCTTACCAGACTTCAAGTTATACTATAAGACTATAGTAAATAAAACAGCATGGTACTGGCACAAAAACAGAAACATTGACCTGTGAATCAGAAATGAGAATCCAGAGATGAAATCATCATCATAGTTTCATCTGAGTTTTAACAAAACAGATAAAAATGTACACAGGGGAAAAGTATCCCTGTTAAAGAAATGGTACTTGGAAAACTGTATAGCCATATGTAGAAGTCTGAAACAGAATCTCTATCTCTCACCACTCACAAAAATTAATTCAAAATGGATAATGGGCTTAAACTTAAGATAGGAAACTATAAGAATCCTGGAAGAAAATGTTGGAAAAACTCTTATGTATATTGGCCTAGGCAACGAATTCATGAAGAACTTGAAAAACTAGCACACCACCAACAAAAATTAATAAATGAAAAAAAATTAATAAATGAGACCTGATCAAATTAAAAAAACTCCTGCACAGCCAAGGAACAATCAAAAGAGCAAAAGGACAGTCCACAAAATGAGAGGAAATAGTTGTATGCTATACATTTCATAAAGGACCGATAACTAGAATCTGCAATGAACTCAAGAAAATCAGCAAGAAACAACCAAACAATCCCTTAAAAATCTGGCAAAAGACATAAACAGCAAAGTTTCAGTGAAGTTATACTAATGACTTAACATCTCTAATCATTAGGCAAATGCAAATCAAAACCACAATGAGGTATCACCTAACTCCAATGAGAATAGCTCATATTGAAAAGCCCTACAACAACAGATG